TAAAGGGCAATGTGCTGCGTGCGGGGCGAGTAACGCCCCGTCTGCCGAAAGATGTGGTGAGCGACGTGGTTGCGAAGCAAGCTCGCGTCGAAGTAAGGGCCGTGGAGCGACCACGGCGTGTCGGCGGGAAGGCCCAAGAACGACTTCGGTGTGTCGAGCTTGATGGCCATTTGGTGCTTGATGAGACGCAGCGTCGAGTCGCCGCGGTAGTGGACGCTGGACGCGTACTCGACGTGGTCAGCGTCGCCGAGGCAGTTCCACTCCGTCCCGTGGGTCTTGATCGTGTCCACAGTCGTCAATGTCGCACGCACGACCTCCTTCATGCAGTCACCCGCCGGAAAAGGCTTGTTCACGCAGTTCATGGCCGGAAGAGGCGTGTGCGGCGAGATCACAAGAATCGGCACGAGGTAGCAGTTCGGGTTAGCCGACGGGTCCATGGCGGCGACGGCAGCGAGCGCGGACAATAGCCAGCGCATACTCATGACGGCGACTGCGCAGGACGATGGATGTCGAGAAGTGGCGGCTCCAATCGACTGGTCGATAGTAGAAAGGCCCGCGTCGATCCCGGCTTGTCGCGTGCCTGATCAGGTGATAGGCCACCCAAATTTCGATCTGATTGGTCAAAACGGTTGCCTTTTCCGAATAAAAAAGGGAGCGCAGGGGAATTATCTTATATAGTACTCTCAATCATTGCACACGAGCATGATAGGCATCACGGCTGAATTCTGCTTGGGGGCAGATGGTGTCGCAATGCCGCAGCATTCCAACTCCTTTAAACACCGAGTGTGTGGGCTATATTACACTGTATTGCAAGTATCTAAAGCTGGGACGCTCCACTCAACGGGCTCCTGGGCTGGGTGTGTTGGTGGTGTCGCGTCGACTGTACTGGAACGAGCGAATTGAGAGCCGTGGGTGCCAATCACCGTGGCCAATCCCAATCGCCCCGTTGGCATACTATATACGTGGTGGATGTGGATGGAGGATGAGATATCGCATTTAGTGTTCGAATAATCGTACACTATATACCATAACAGCACCATTTCACGTCAAATGGGTTTAGTGGCGCCAACGCAACTTCAACTGAGGTCCAAATGATTTTTGCAGACGGTGAGGCGTCGCGGTACGAGAGACTTCAAGTCAGAGGTGCCCAACAGAGGGTCTTAACTCGACCTTGCTTGCTGAGCTCCGCGTTAAACGAAAAGCGTGTTTGGGCAAAAACGCGTATCGAACGCACTGGTTCGAGCAGACTCGTACAATGAATGCACTGGTATTAGTTGCTTGCGCTTGCAAGTCCCGCTCGAGCTAAGCGCAAACAAATTATTTGCGTCATTGCTGTATGGCAAGACAGTAAGAATTACGATGGGTCACACACTCCCATGCACACCAGAACATCGACTCGCAACACGACAACCACGAGCTCTTGTAGGCTGACGGAAACAGGAGCGCGATACGCGGGACAAGTTGACATCGCGGCCACTCGTGTTGAGCACGGAGCCGGAGAAGCCGACGAAGAGCAGGCAGCTCGGGCTCTTGAACGAGGCTGTGGGGTGGGGCAAGTGGGGTGGGGCAAGTGCAGTTGAGCGACACACGCCGGCTTGATGGCAATCGTCAATGGACTTCGTAGTGGTAGGTCTGAGCGAAAAACGCGATCGGTCGATGAGGAAGTGGCGGTGCGTCTCATACGGTACCGGTACTCGTACGCGAGACAAAAAGGTGCGCTTGGTCGAGCCTGTTGGGCTTGTGCACATGGGCTCGAATCTAGACTGTGTTGAACGCCACTTGGAATTATAGACGGCGTCGGTATACTTGGGTAAGACTGCGTTGGACAGTTGGAGCTCGATTGCTGCGATTGCAACAGGTGCGTCGTTGAAATGAGTCTATTTAGATATAATTTACACTGAACTGGATATGGTGGTGGACTAGCGATTCCAAGGCGCTACGACGAGCCGGCCGCCGAGATGCTTAGCCGAGCGGGAGACGTGGCGTGTGAACGGCACATGTCGGAACGAAGTTGTTGCGTAGCCATGCATCGTGACGCAGGGCTGCCATCATTTGGAAGAGGCACAATGCTCGAGCGTTCAGCAGCAAGTGTTGGAGGTGCAGCTTGGTCAAGAACGCGGCTCGTTGGGCGGCTGCCGCAGGCGTCACAAGGGGCGCCTCGGGGCGAAATACTCGGTGGTTACGGGCAAGCCAGACGGTGTGGAGCACGCACACAAGGAGGATTGACCACATCATGGCCACGGCACGCCGACGGTAGCGTTGGGCTGTCACCAGCGGTTGAAAGAGGAGCGTGGAAAGCGTCGTGGGAAGTTCGAGCTCGAGGGCGCCGACGAGCGGCTGAAAGACCGCCCACACGGCAGTGACAAATTCGCAACGAAGCAGAAGATGGTCGTACGTCTCGAGGTCGACGCAGACGGGACGCGGATCGCGACGGCGCCAAGCACCACTCGGTACATGAGGTCGGCGTATCTCGGCAGGATGTGCTCGGGTTGGCGGTACTCGACTGCTGCAGCCACCATGGCCGGCGTGGCATAGTGGACGTCGGGGAGCTGCAGATATCTCGTAGGGAGGAGGCACTGGGCCGCGACATCGTGTCGGCGTCAACAAGCGTGGCGATTCGTAGCCGTAGCCAGCGGCATCACCTTGCCGGCAAAGCACACGCGCCACGCGGGCGGCCCCGGCGAGGCGGCGTCGGCCTGTGGTGTCGCAGGGGCGAGACAGTCGGTCGCGCGCACCACCGAACGGAGCCAGGCTTCAGTAGGCGGGCGCACTGCAGGCTCTAGCGCGGCGCACTTGTCGCGTACGTTGGCGGCGAAGGTATCAAACGTCCTGCATGCGTCCCAGAGGTGCGAGACGTGGGTAAATCCGGCGCGTGCCATGTTGCGTGCGTGAGTCGTCGCATAGCTTGTCGTCAGCGGGCGCAGCGCGTCGGCGCACTCGAGAAATGCGTTGATCCACAGCGGTTGGTCGTGCAGTGTCGCGGACCGTTGGCGTGCAACAGGTATCGTAGAAGTTGTCGGAGGGCTTCAGCAGGCGTCGTCTACGGCTTGATCGCATTGTGCAGTCGCATCAGTCACGGTGGCGTGGGCTTCGAGCTTGACAAGGCGCCGCATGTGACGCCGTCGACGGCGATCTAGCTGTATCATCGACCAAGATTGCCAAGATCGCGCCAACTTGATTTCTGTGGTATGGTCAGCAACTTCAAGGTCCCGAGTGCCGGATGTGCAGGTAGTATATCCGGACACGTTGGCTCATGGCCTCAAAATTGAATCGGACGAAGGTCAACGAAGATGGCTCTGAAGCTCCTCAAGCAAACCAAGTGCTTTGACGGCGTGGTGAAGCATTTTGCCCATGAGAGCGCGATGACGCGCACGACCATGCAGTTCTGCGTCTTCCTTCCGAAAGAGGCAACCGACGCTGCGAAAGTCCCGGCGATCTATTACCTGGCGGGCCTCACATGCAACGAAGAGCTCATGCAGATCAAGGGCGGTGCCCAACGCATGGCCGCGAAGCGTGGTGTTGCGCTCATTACGCCCGACACGAGGTATGGATGTCGTCACAGCCTACGCTCACAGTCTCCGATCGTAGTCCTCGTGGCATCAGCATTGAAGGCGACAGTGAAAACTGGGACTTTGGCACGGGTATACTTGGATCAATGAATTGAAGGTCCTCACGCTTGCACAGGCGCGGGGTTCTATGTGGACGCTAAGGAGCCCAAGTGGGCTGAAAACTACAACATGTATTCGTACGTGACGAAGGAGTTGCCGGCTCTCGTGACGGCCAACTTGCCAATCATCGATGGCAAGCAGTCGATCATGGGGCATTCGATGGGCGGTCACGGTGCGCTCACGCTTGCGCTCAAAAACCCGGACCTTTACAAGTCAGTGTCGGCCTTTGCGCCGATTTGCCATCCGACGCAGTGCCCATGGGGTATCAAGGCTTTCACGGGGTACCTCGGCACGGACCAATCGACGTGGAAGGTATTCTTCTTACAAGTTTGTGTGTTGTACGGGTCTCATCGAATTGCTATGTAGGCGCACGATGCGACGCTTCTTGTTCTCGAGAAGGGTGCGAACCCGAATCTAAACATCCTCATTGATCAAGGCACGGACGACCAGTTCCTCTCAGACAAGCAACTGCTGCCGGAAGCCTTCGAGGTACGCGACGCTTGATAGGGCAAACGCAAAACATATTTGGGCGTAGGCGGCATGCCAGAAGGTCGGCCAGCCGTTGACGCTGCGCATGCAGGTTGCTCAACTTTCTGCCGTTTAACTTTTGTTGATGGTCGAGTCTTCTAGGATGGCTATGACCACGGCTACTACTTCGTTTCGTCGTTCATGGAAGACCACATCAACCACCACGCGGACGTGCTCCTCACAACGGTCTAAACTAGCGTGTACAAGAGTCGTGCAGTAGCCCTTCGCGTACAAGCTTCTCATGTGTACACACTCCGAGACGAGCATTACTCCGAGACGCTCGGTAATCTTTTTGATGCCGTGTCAATCACTATGATACATCTTGATGCACGGAGTTGTTGCATTCGCAACAACGACGCTGGTCTGACGGGTCAGTGCTTCCCTTGCTAATATGTATACAACTGCGGCACCTCGGGTCTAATGGCCACCAACGATGAGCG